TATACTAGCTAGTTGAAGGGATGTTAATTAGCAACTAATAAATATTTAAAGATTTTCTTAATACCCCAACGAGGTTTTAATCCAAATTTTATGTAATTAGGCTAAACTTAAAGGATAAATTCCGAATTACCCAACATATTAACCATTACTTTTAGCCCTATAATTATGTTCGGACTCTGAAAGTGTTCAAGTCTGTTTAGTTGTCAGGATAAGATTAGCCAAGATAATATAAAATAATCTAATTAGAATCTCGTTATTTTATCGGATTCCGGGACATTCAATAAAAAAAACTCCCTAAAAAAATAAGATAAATCATGATAACACAATATTTATGGATCGATCCGACAAATAATTGAGAATGTCAAACATCAAACAAAGTCCTATTATTTAATTAATCATAGCTAATTTCCGTAACCAAACGAGGACTAAGAGAATAAAGTCGTATGTAGTGTAATTAGAGCAATTTTGACTTAAATTTGATGACGAGCAGTTGAATATTTTCTATATATATTATATATACAACAAAATCTATACATACATATATCGATCTGTCTATCATCTCTGCTCCATTTTCTATTCCATTTCAATCTTCATAATAAGTGGAGTTGGAAGTACACCAATAATGATATCCTTTTCAATTTAATTTCCATGGCCATGCATGCATATTTAAACTAAATACAATTAATTAATTGTGTCCTCACTACATAAGAATATTTGTCAATCATTAGTTTAAGAGACATTGTACTTTTAATATTAAATAGGGAAAAAAAAACATTGAACATATTTTTATGAATTAAATATCCATAGAAACAATGGGCAAGGTTTCGGGTTTTCGATTTCGGATTTCAGTTCAGTTGAAAATGGAATTCATGGAGCAATTGGGGGCCCCACCATTTCTCTAAAGTATAGTAGTATTTTACATATTAATATTTATTATTTTTCAAGTATTGATAAAATTAAATATACTAGTAAAAACCTCACTACAACCTAGCTTAAAAAAAGGAAAAAGAAAATTAAAAAAATTGCAGTTCTAATTAAGAGCCCCACTCTTCCAACGGGAGGAGTTGACAAAGATACACTAGCACAATCATGTACCTGCAACAAATTAAAATTATGGGGAAATTAGTGATACACCCCTACTTTTGAAAATATATATGAGGAGACCCAATGAATATTTCTACTCTAGTCAAAAACCCAAAATTCTGATCTTAATTAGTGAGACCCCCCTGAACAACTTGAAGTACCTGTTTTACCCTTTTAATTTTAATTCAATATATACCCTAATCTTATCTCTTCTCACTCACACGGTTTCAACCACACCGCCATTCTCACCCTCTCTCTTCATCTCTCCCTCTTTCTTACTCTGTCTCGCTGCTCCCCACCGTCTCACCGTCTTGCGCCGCCCGCCGCCACTACTCCCCCACTGCTCCCCCACCATCTTGCGCGGCCTGTCGTTTAATCTCTCCCCCTCTCTCTTCATATCTCCCTCTCTCTGATTCTCCCTCGCCAGATCTGGTGCCGACAGATCTAGGCGACCCATCGGTCTCTTGTTGGTGTACATATATCATCCTCCTTCTCCGGAGCCTCCACCACCGCCCCCGGCGGGGTTCCGTTGTTGCCGCCGTCGAGATCGCTCCTGCCGTCCTCGTCACGGTTGCTCTTCTGGCCGCTGATGTTGAGGGTGCCGCTGGTCTCGATTTGCTCGTCGTTTGAGTTGTGGATCTGGTGATGGTGGAATTACCCAAATTCAGTCAGGTAATTTGACGAGCATCTCTTTTTTTTTTTTTTTTTTTTTGTAATTTTGGGATTTTGATTGAATGATTGTGTGGTTATTTCCCAGATTTTACTGTTTATTCTGACATTAGGTGTTGATGCTTGATTTGATGCAAAGTTTGTTGCCTTTGACTTGCAATTAATTATTGTATATGTTATGGGTATCCAACTGAGAATTTTTCCTTTATATTCCTATAAGGCTGATTTTAATATTAGTAAGTTACATTTTGAAAATGGTGATATATTGTCCGACTTTGATGTCTTCTTGGTGAAATTACATTCAGGTATTGAAAAGACTGGCTCACCGTAGAGTAATGTACCATTCTTACTCGGTTCAAGTTCATGGCTATATATGTTCATCCACAAATGATGACAGTGGTTCATTTACTCTAGTACATGGTGTAAGTTTCTCTTTCTCAAAAAGTCAATCTAGAGGGGTGCTGCCGTTTTCATTTATTCTATTAGTTAATGTGCTAATGATTTCATATTTCCAATATGATTGAAGGTCTGAATTATTTTTATGTTCAGTATCATGGCAATTCTTCTTTGAGACATTGGCTTCAACAAGCAGATTGGCTACCAACTCTAGAAGCTACTCTCGTGTTGGATGAGGAGTATGTCAGGCGAGTCGGTGATGATACAGTGGGAGGACCGGCAGTTTCTCGAGAATTACGTCTTATTCGAAACTTGGCTGTACTTGTTTCAGTGTAGGAGAGATTTGCGTTATCAAGTCATAAATAGTCACACGTGGTCATATACATATAGTCATATTTAGTCACGTGTAGTCATATACATGTAGTCATATATAGTCACGCGTAGTCATATACATGTAGTCATATATAGTCACGTGTAGTCATATACATGTAGTCATATATAGTCATGTGTAGTCATATACATGTAGTCATATATAGTCACGTGTAGTCATATATAGTCACGTGTAGTCATATACATGTAGTCATATATAGTCATGTGTAGTCATATACATGTAGTCATATATAGTCATGTGTAGTCATGTACATGTAGTCATATATAGTTACGTGTAGTAACTCGTAGTAATATATTGTTATATATAAGCTATATAAGTTATGTGTTTTTTCTGATGTATAGTGATGTTGATGATTGTGTTTTTCCAATTTTTTGTTGGGTATTAATTGATTTATAATATCAAGATTAAATTGTGAATTTTTGTTTTTGGTGTAGATGAAGTTTTTTTTTATATAATCATATGTAATATATATACCATAGTCATGTGTAGTCAATTTCAATACAGTAAATTTATCAAAATATTGAAACAAAATTAAAAATTAAAAATTAAAAAAAATTAAAAAAATTACAAAATTAAAAAATTAAAAAATTAAAAATATTAAAAAATAAAAAAAATTAAAAAAATTAAAAATTTTAAAAATTTTAAAAAATTAAAAAAATTTAAAAAATTAAAAAATTAAAAAAATTAAAAATTACAAAAATTAAACAATTTTAAAAAATTAAAAAAATTAAAAAATTAAAAATACAACAGAGCTATATATAAAAAATAATAATAAAATAAACATTTATAATTTTTTATTAAAAAAATCTGATAATATGATAAATGCAGGTCTAAATGTTAATTGCAGTTGATCATAATGCTGAATGCAGTTACTAAAAATACTGAATGCAGTTGGGCAAAAAATAGATATAAGGGCACAATAGTACTTTTGCCTCCCCAGGGGGTTATCTCAAAGGAAGAATTTTAGGGGTGGACCTATCCCTATATATTTTCCATATTAAGGGTGTATATCAAATGGACCCTAAAATTATATTATTATTATTATTATTATTATTATTATTATTTGAAGCAGACCCTAATGACTTTTTAGTGTTCAATTAATCAAAGATTAATTAATATAATAATGGAGGTTTCATTTATCTAAAATCCACTTTTTGTAAAATAATCCATAAAGGAAGGTCACAAAACGACGTAGTTGCTTATGCTAGAGCACTAATCCCAGAAAACTAACAAGATAGCTTTTGCCAAAAGTCAACCCCCTTCTTTTAACAAATCCATCTCTTCATTGGCATCCAAGAAACTGACTTTGCCCCTTATCACCTAAAATTGGAAATAATAATTCTCATAATTTCTATTTTATTCAACAATATTTTTTTGCAAAAAAATATTCATAAGGTTTTATTTGGATTCATAATGTCATACAGTGTGAAATACAAGCCGGTAAAGAAAAGAAAATTATTAAATTCAACGCCGTTGACCTGCGATCAACGACGATGGCAGTCAAAATTGGTTAATAAATGAAATTGAGATTAAATTAGAGTTTGAGTAATGAAATTGGAGTAAATAAGAATTTGACAGTTCGGTTATGAATTTATAGGCAAAGGAGAATTTTGTCTATCATTTTAGTTACATTTGTTCCTTTATCCAAGAAAAAAGTATTGCATGGTCTAATCATTGATTCGAAAATTTCTACAATAAATTGGGTTGGTCGCTAGTATAGTTTCCTATCCACGATTCTGCTATTTACTGGAATCATTTTACTGGCATACGATAGTATGAAAATCCCTTGGGTAGAAAGTTTTTAATCCTTATGTAGAACATGATCGTGCATGTTTGTCAATGCGTATTCATATCCTATCATTGTAATTCCTTTTTTCATGAGCGTTTTTGTGAATGCACTTTTGCACGAGTATTTTTGTGCATGGTTTTGAACGTGTATTGTTATGCATGTTTTTGTGTGTGACTGTTTTTGTGCATCTTTGTCGATGCGTATTCATGTCATATTATTGTAGTTCCTATTTTCATGACCGTTTTTGCGAATGCACTTTTGCACGAATATTTTTGTACATGGTTTTGAACGTGTGTTTTTGTGCATGTTTTTTTTATGTGAGTGTTTTTGTGCATCTTTACCGATGCGTATTCATTTCCTAGTACTGTAGTGTAGTTCGTGTTTTCACCATCGTTTTTGTGAATGCAGTTGTGCGAAGTTTTTTGTCGAGACTTATTTGTTAATAACTAACTCTATAGATAATTGCCCCTTTCTTTAGACAAAAAAGAACAATTAAAAACAAAAAATAAAATTAATGTAAAAACAAAAAATAAAATAAAATTAATGTAATTAGATAATTGCTAAAAACATAGGAAAACTAATGTAATCAAGTCATAATTCAATATTGCATATATTTCAAACCTAAAAACAAAAAATAAAATAAAAAATAAAAAATTAAACAAAACTCAGAAACTAGCATGCATGATATCCCTTTGTTTGCAAGAACCTCTGTTTGATCTTGATAAGCCTGACCACAGCATCCTTCATGTTAATCCTGTCTTGAGGTGCTTTCTTTGAGCAATCAAGGGATAATTCTATCACAGAGGATAAGCATGTAATAATATTATGGTGACTGTTTATTTTTAATAATAATAATCCATTTTCCTCCTCCTGAAAAAGATTGGCATCAATAACCTCTATCAAAGAGTTGGTATTATAAGCTGCTTTCACCCAGTGCCTCAGGCTTCGATTTTCTCCGAATAATTCGTCCGTTGGCTTTCGCCGTGTCAGTACTTCCATCAACATAATTCCGTAACTGTAAACATCCCCTTTTGTGGATACCGTGCCATCCGAACCGTACTCTATACAAAGACATCATCACCACCAAAATAAACTATTATTAGGGTTTCGTTTCGGTCGAAAAAATAATTGAAATCCACCATAGCGACTCAAAAGAAGAGTTTATTGTGTTTATTACTTATGTGTTACATCGAATTGTTAAAAAACTCCATGTGTTGTAAATATTAGCAAAAAAAACCTTATAGTGTTTTTTTTAGCTTATAATCCCCTTAAAAGTGAGTTTTTAGGGGGTAGTTTGCTAAAAAAAAATCATGGGTGGTTTTAACAATTAGAGAAATACAAGGATGCCAAACGCAATAAACCTAAAAACGCCTCCATATTATTTTTATTAGCATAAAACCCCCCAATGTTACAATTTTGTTTTGATCATTTTCTCTTAATCCATTATGCTAGTTGACCAACAGAAATACAATACAAATACCCTTCAAATTAAAAAATAAACAAATAAAAACCTCCAAAAGATATTTCATTTTATTGCTCAAAAGGGTATTTGTGTCATTTTAACCTACAAAATCGCAGAAAGAGTCGTAAATTTCGCGAAGGAATCACACAATAAGCTCCAACTGGTCTCTGTTTGCTTTTGACTTTTGAGTTCCGATTTCATAAATATGGGAATTTTTTTAACAATTAGAATGTACACAGACATGTCGAACGCAAAATAAATAAAAGGGATTATGAAATTAATTAGCTCGATAATCACGGTATATACCTGGAGCAATGTAGCCGATAGTTCCGAGAGTTTTCGTTTTCGCATCCGACTTATTTTCCGCTAATATCTTCGAAATGCCGAAATCGCTGACACAAGCGACCATGTCAGCATCGAGTAGAACGTTACCAGGCTTCAGATCACAATGAACCACCGGAAACTCACATCCGTGGTGAAGATATTCGACCGCCATTGCCACATCAATCATAACATCTATCCTTCGTTTGAGATCCATGACAACATAATCCTGTCTACTGTACAACCAACTCTCGAGACTTCCGTTACACATGTATGCGAGAACAATGGCTCTGATGGAGTCATTGTTAGAGCAGCATGTGATCACCGTAACAAGATTCCTATGCCTCAACTGTTTCAACGCTTCGCATTCCGCGTCGAATCTCTTCTTCTGCGCTTCTTTGTTGTCCTTGAAGTCGAGAACTTTTATTGCAACCTTTGTCGAATCGGACAAAGTTCCCATGAATACGGAACCGGAACCCCCCACTCCGAGTAGATTGGCTTCGCTAAAGCCATCCGTGGCTCGCAGAATCTCGCGGTAGGATATCTTTTTCCAAGCCGCAATTCGAAACGTTGGCTCGGGATTTTCCAATTTCACCCTTCTACGCCTACGCAGCAGCATCCAGATTGACAACAACGAGATAATTATTACAAATGCAACCGAGGCCGTCAATGGAATGATAATCTTGAGAATATTGAGTGAACCCTTATTATTATTTGTGGTAGCAGAACAGGGCGGCACCACGCATAAATCTTTGTTCCCGATAAAAGATTCGGGAGAAGAATTCGAAAAAATGCCGTTTTTAGGTATTTCGCCGTGTAGCTGGTTGTACGACAAGTTGATTTCTCTAAGTTGCAATAGTTTCTCCAAGGACGAGGGTATTGTGCCCGATAAATTATTCGAGGACAAGTCCAAGAATTCCAAACTTATCAAATTGCCGAATGTAGTTGGAATAGAACCCTCCATTGAGTTGTTCGAGAGGGAAAGATATCTCAAGTTTTGGAGTTCGCCTAACGAACTCGGAACAACACCCGACAAACGGTTACTCGATATATCTATCCCTTGAATGTTCCGGAGGATTCCAATCTCCGAAGAAATCCCTCCTTGAATCAAATTGTTGGACAAATTCAGAAACAACAGATTCTTGATTCCCCACAGTCCCAAAGGTAGGCCAGAAGTCAACATATTGTAACCCAACATGAGTCTTTGCACTCTTACAAGATTCCCTATACAGCTCGGTATGGAACCCGAGAGTTTGTTTTCGAAGAGAATTATCTCACCTAGGTTAACTAGGTTGCATAACTCGACCGGTATATTCCCTTGTAGCATGTTTTTACTCAGATATAGCCTCTGAAGCTTATTCAGATAGCCAATCTCTGAAGGTATATTTCCTGTCAAATTGTTCCCATTCAAGACCAATGACAGCATGCTGCTCATGTTCCTGATTCCTGGCGGGATTTCTCCGTACACAAGGGCGTTCTCGACATTAAACATCTCGATAGAGCTCGAGAGGTTCTGAACGGAATCGGGAGGGAATATTCCGTCGAGAGGGTTATTACCTACGATAAGAAACTGAAGCATTCTGCATTCTGACAGAGAATTAAGGAACCCGAGTTCTTGATTTCGTGTTGTCAGATGATTAGCTGCAAGATTCAAGAAAACGAGTTCTCTGAGATTACCGAAATCATTAGGCACGCTTCCGACAAACGAGTTGTGTGATAATTCGATCTCCTTGAGCTTAGAAGCATTAGTAATGGCTCTTGGTATTTCTCCCTGTAGCTGATTGTCTGCGAGGTAAATCCCTTCGAGATTCGGGAGGTTCAGGCCGAGATCCGCAGGAATATTCCCCGATAGTCTGTTGTCGGTGAAAGCAATGTACACCAAAGACGACAAGTTGAAGACCGCCGGAGGGATTTCGCCGGTGAGTTTGTTGAAATCGAATCCCAACATCTGCAAGTTCGACAGTTTCCCCAGTTCATGAGGAATCTTTCCTCCTAAATTGTTCCCCACGCATCCCAGAAAACGCAGACTGGAAATATTTCCGAGCGACGGAGGAATTGTGCCGGTCATGCCGTTTTCCGTCATGTACAAGCGCTCGAGCCTCGACAAACAGCCGATGTTTCGAGGAATACGTCCGGTCAGGTTGTTGTGAGAGAGGTCTAACGACGTCAGCTCCGTGAAGCGGCATAAGCCGGAAGGGAATCCCCCGGTGAGTTTATTCGAAGAGAGATCGATCGTGTTCAGAAAACTACTATTACTACTACCATCTCCATTGTTGTTGAGCAAGAAGAACGAACCAGATAAGCTATTGTTCGAGAGACGTAATCTACGTAAAGACGGTATGTCGAAAATGGACGGCGGGATCGAACCTGTGAGTTGATTGTTGCCAAGATCAAGTGTCATGAGAGAAGATAGGTTTGCTATTGACGGAGATATTTTGCCATGAAGATTCATGGTGGAGAGGTTGAGGGATACGATCACACTTCGTCTGTGTGGTGCGCTGCAGGTGATTCCTACCCAGCTGCAGAAAGAAGTATTGGTAGTCCAGTTATTAGCCAGCACAGTGTCTCTGTTGGTTATCTGATTCTTGAAATCTAACAGAGCTAATTGATCATCAGAAAAGGCAACCATAATAAATCCCTCTGTGAAGAGTAGTAGTATTAGAGAAAGAATGTAGAGAATCTCCATGTTAAAGCCAGTACACAGAAATGAAGAAATACAGAAGCTTACTACAATGTTCTAAAAAAAAAAAATCCAGTCAAACTAGTTGACAAGTAGATGATGTCTGAACGTGAAACATGGACAAAAACTTAGACAACTTTGTTTCGTCGGCTACTATGTCAAGGACACCTGTCTACGTCTTTAATGTGTGAAAAAATAAACATTAATGTTGCCTTCCAACGTTAAATTTGGTGGACAAGGCGGTTTTTTTCTCTCTCTTTTTTTTTTAACTTTATTTTGACAATTAAAATAAATAAATATTAATGTTCGTTCCGCGTAAATGTCATAAAATTGGCACGTGTACCACATAACACATGTCAAACCACAAAATGAAGCTTTATTATTCGAGTGTAGATGAAGATGATGACAATTCACAGACGATTATCCCGTATACATTTTTTTTTTAATGAATAAAAGAAAATATTAAATAGCTACACAACGAAAATAGATGTACAACTCATGTAGCTCAAAAAACTAAGGAAACAATATAATGTTCAGAAAACCGATGCTCAAACCTACGAAAGAGCTTCCCTCATCATCGAACGGTGAGACAACTGCTGCTCGTATAGACCGCGAAAGACACGATACTTAGCATCGTGGTACCTTCTTACTTTTATGTCCTTGGAGGGATAAACAACCTGTCAAAGGTTGTATGCCAGAAAAAAAATCAATCGAAATAATGTTTAAACTAAACACAATAACAAAAGGATTAGATAGGATCATAAGATAAATAGAAACTTAAATAATTATTTGTATTAAAATAAAAACAAAAAATCGGTGTGGAGGTGTGGATTAGGTGGGGCCTACCTGCCCAGCTGCATTTAGTGCTCTCATGGCCTCTCGCACGGTGGAATATTTCTTCGAAGCAACTGCACCGAGAATAGCAGCACCCAAAAGCACTGATTCATTTTCCCGTGGAAGAATAATAGGACAACCTATATACCAAATGCCCCGGAATATGTTAACAATCAAAGAAAAAGAAAATATATCACTAAAAAAAAGTTAAATCAAAACTCAAAAGCTTAATGAGCAGAGTTATTTTCGTCTTTTAATTGAATCTCATACTGGTGCTACTTATCGACAACTTTCAACTGCAACACTTTCCTAAGTACATAAGTTTTCTCCATCTTCAGTAAGCAGCAGAAACATTACTTTGGCGTTGACTTAGTTTTGAATCACGCGTGATTCTCGTACGTAGAAGTGTGTGCAAACATAATCTTGAGTCTAGAAGTTGGTATTAAAACTCACATGTCATGGCTTGTTAATTGATCTAATCTAACGTGGATTTATTAGAGTACTGGAACTGGTTTGTGTTAGAGTATCTAGAAATTTAGGATTTTAATCAATAACCTAATTAAGATATAAAATAGATAATTACGTGGCTTGGCACGCCTACTTCACTAGTTTTCCCAAGATGACATTGGAGATGAAAGACTTTCAATCAAGACACTAGATTTGCAGCTTCTCTGCTACACAATTTCAATTACTACTGCTAAAAGAATAGACCACCATGCGTTATTATGAAATGTCAAACATAAATTTCTGTGTGCGTGTGCGTGGGGAGGGAGGGAGGGAGCGAGCGAGGGAGAAACCTGTAATATCTGCATGCTCTTGAATGAACAAGGAATTCTTTGTAAGCCCACCACATGCAAGTAACGTGTCAATCTGTCACAAAAAATCAATGAGAAAGCGTCCGCGCCAAGCTAACAATAACGTATATATTTTCAAGATCAACAAGACGAATCCTCACTTCTTCAACTACATAAACGTCATAAATTTCTTCAAGAATGTTTTAAGTGACCAGAGTTCTAAAGAAAATGTCATTCGAAATTATTTTTTGTTTTTTTTATATCTATTACAAAACATTTGGTGCAAATTTGCTTACTTTGTGTCCCTGGGCATTGCAGTGCTCTACGATATGCCGGGTCCCATATGCTATACCCTGTACAGTGGCAAGGTATAAAAGAGCAAGCTGCTTTTCACTTGTATCGAGAGTTAAGCCACAAATCATCCCTTTCGATATCGGATCTGCAATGGGAGATCTAAACTAAAATTTTAGAAAGTACAAAACTTAACGATTTCGATATAAATGAAAAAAAATTGCTGACAATGTCTCGAGCTCTTACCTGTTTCCATGGAAATCGGGAAGGACGTGAATGTCATTTGTTAAAGCAGCAACAAATGGAGAACCTAATTCTTCCCTCGCTGATTCCAGTATCTCGTTCAGAAGTTCAAATATCGAAATACCTTGAAAAAAAAAAATATTAAAAAAAATTAAATAAAAAAATTTTAAAAAATTAGGAGGTAAAGAACAATAGAGGCGTGATCGTGTGAAGTTCAAGATATCTCACTTCGAGAAGCGGCTCTATTTGCCAGGTGTGGAGAAGCAACGTGGTTCTCTACGATGTAATCAAGTAATGCCCCAGTGGCACTCTGGCCTCCTTCTGTGAGCCAATACTGAGGCACCATAGCTAAATGAATTTGTGAAAGTGAAAAAAAAAATAATTAATATATTGCTCCTTGCATCGACAAACAGGTTAGACTAAATTTAGCAATGAAAAACATGATCGAATATTTTTTTTTTGTTTTTATGACACCAATAAACCCCCCTGGAAGTGGTCCCATGGAGAATTTGAATGTGTGACCAAAAAAAACGAAAGAAAGAAATCTTTTGGTCAATATATACCTGACCAATATGGTCCCCAGACCCCGGGAATGAACAATTTGGTCTTGGAAATAACCATGTGGCAAGTGGAAGTTCCGCACACTAGCACCATTCGACGAGATATTGCTTCTTCATCAACCTCTGTGTGTTCATAACAAACAGTTTTAACATAATATCCCACATGAAAATGCTATACTGTTTTAAGTGACAATTAAAGAATAATTAACCTTTTGATTCGGAATCTACCGACACAGGCACACTTTCCATAACTCCAACGCCACCAGCATGAGCATCTATTAAGGATGTTCCAACTGGTGTCCCAGCCACTAGACCTAATTCCTGAAAATAAATATGCACGAGGAATGATTTAAGACATGATAACTATGTTACACCCTGGATGTAAAAAATCATTAAACGTGAAATATTCAATAGTTTTCTTGCCTTTGCAGCTTCAGGTGTCAGACCGGAGCCCAAAGCATGACCAGGAAAAGCTACACTCCGTCCTGCAAAGTGTTCGTTTACTGTAAGTGTTAAGTATATAATCATACAAGATAACGGAAAGATAGAAACTCGAAGCAACGATCATTTGACTAGAGACAAGACAAATAGTGACTGTGTCAAAGGAAGAAACTCAGAAATGTATTTAGCTTTAGCAATTTTATACTCTCCCTGCTTTATGAGCAAACCGAAAGAACTACGTAAATAAGATAATAAAAGAGTTAACGGGACTTAATAATTTTGACTGCTAAAAGATTTCACTTAACAATATACATAATCACTTTCTTCACTTATATAGTTGTATAATTTTAGTAAGATCGGACCACTACAAAACTTTATTACGTTAAAATATACCAGTCATTGCAAGAACAATTAGAGGCGTACCAATCTTGGAATGATGGCCATCGACAAGGTCACCTAAACCAATCTTCTCCCAGAAGTCATCATCCCATCCAAGCGCTTCCATATCACGGGAATCATTCTCATTGGTCTGTTGCATATGCGCATGACCTAAATATGTCCATTTGCAGACTGTTGTGCATAGACTCCGAGTATCATCTCCAGTTGCCCTAAAGAAAAGACCAATACGGGGCATATTTTTTTTAATTTCAGAGACGCTAAAGTAACCGAGATAGCTTTGAGAGGTTTACCATCGTACCTATATGATAACCAATCACTCAGATCCATCCACCTAGATGCCATTGACCAAGACTCTGGCAAATTCTCTTTCACCCACAGAAGCTGAATATTAGACAATCCAGTAGCAAATCAAAATACAGTCCACACTGCTACATTTTTATTTGTCGAGCCAAGCTATTGAAAAATAATGATAATCACTAAAAGCGCACCTTAACAATAGCAACCAAATTAATATGAACTTGTATAACTAAAGCAACACCCTCACGAAAATAACAAGATACAGCTAAATGGAAAAAGGTTAGGTTTCTAATGAAGAAATTTGGCTTCGCTATCTTTGGCGGTTTTGCATGTTTGCGATCAAACGAAAACTGAGTCTCAGATTTTCATTTAATCAAAGTTCTTTTTGCAGACGGAGTTTTTTTTTTAAGGGGTTCAATCTAGACTAGCATATCACATGGTTTCCCAGCCATAAGAAATCTGCTCTTCAACAAATATAACCCCACTAATCATCTGTATAACCCCACTTGATATCAATCCCATTTCGTTTTTAATGTACACTTCAAGAAATAGAATAACACCACTACATAATTAAATATTATAGCCACATTCATAACTGTGAGGTCATTCTGAATAATTCCAGTTCCACTAACAAGAAGATTTCGACAGCTCAATAGCTTCACCTGCCAATTAAAGACGCTGCACTGTTTTGTTGTACAGTAGAGAGAAACTCAAAACAACGAGATAACCTCAAAGGTCGGCTTCTCTGAGGATCAAAGTGAAAGTAATCTAAGAAGTAAGAATTTTAAATATGGACAGAATCATGTCTCGTTTGTAAACATAGATCATTTGGAGATCCTTCATTATGCCTAAAATTCCTAAAGTTAAAGCAAATTAAGTTTCTTAAAATGCACCATCGGACATATAGCTATGCTGGATAGATACGTTAAAAAAACATATGATGCAAAACATCTCAAATTAAGACTTATAATTCATTGACAGAAGCATAGTTCAAATATTCCAAAACGGGCGGACACTGAAACTTTGAACCAATACCTTAGGTGGCTGCATCTCAGGGGATACAGCCCCACCACAATATTCCAATACCGGCGACTTAGAAGAATTAATTCTCTCCGCTTGGTTTACAGCTCTGTGGTCCATCCACAAAATAATATTCCTTCTCGTGTCGCCGCTCCAAGAAACTGTAACAGGTTCGCCATCATAATCAACAGCAACTGCAACAAACAAGACCAATATCCCCTGGTAAATAGTTAGGCCATAAGCCACATTGTCCAAAAAAAAAAACGATGAAAAATGGATTTATACCATTATTTTAGGTGACAGTATGAAATGCACTTGCTAGAGTTCACATACCGAGCGAACAAGTAGCAGCAAACCCCAAACTGGTCACTTCTTCCCCAGAAATATTTGCTAGAGAGCAAGCTGCTTTGACAGCTGTGCAAATTGCGAGCCATATATCGGTGGACGATTGCTGGATAGAACAAAATCGAGGAATGAGCGTAAATACGAAGTTTTCAGTAGTGATACTTCTACGCCTAAAGTATGTTTTCAAATTTCCAGAATAAATAAATAAATAAAATAAAAAAGGATTGTCACCTCAGCACAATCGCCATCTTTCCAAATCTGTATCTGACTACTCGAAGAACCTAAAAGGCGTCCGTCGTTATCAAACAGCCCTGCAATAAAACAGCAAAGCGAAATAAAATGAAGTAAGCGCTTCCGAACGCATAATTACGATTAAACAATTATCTGCAGCCCCTCGATTCTGAACAAATAAACTGCAAAACGAAGACTATTTTTCGTAATGAATCAAACAACTCATAGAAAAAATTTCACAGCTTCAGTAAATTGATTATTTCAATAAAATTCATAATTTCCTAGAAGGTGATTAATTAATTAGTGTGAAAATAAACAATATATCAGCAATCAGAATAACCAATTAATTGACCGCATATGAGAATTACACCAATGTAACAGCAAACACCGAAAAAAAAAAAACAAACATAATCAACGGATACAATTTACACCGTAAAAAAATGTATATTAATCTGTAAAAGAGACCTGCGCGTGCGCTTCCTGTGCCAACGTCAACGCCGAGGGAAACGGAGCGGCGCCGGGGCGGCGGAGATGCGGCTGTGGTCATCTCGATAGCGGAGGAGATGGAGCGGTGAGGTTCGAGAAACGATGATGTTTTATCTGCTCTTTGATGTGCGCCAAACATTTTCTTAATATATATACTAAATATGTATGTATGCTCTTTTTTTAGCTTTATGAATTTCTGGGATTTTGTCGTCAATTTTCATTCGGGATAATGCAGATCTTAAATTAATTTTTCTATTTTTTTTAATTTATAAATTTGGATGGAAGTTTTTTGAACTGAAATGCTAGATGCAGTACAAATTTTACCGCCTTGCAGTACAAGTCCAAACTGATCTGGACTAGTTTGCCTACAACATAATATATACCGGTGGGTTTTTTTTACCAAATTATCCTACCAACCCATCGAACCCTACCGATTTTTTACCGAAATATTTCTACCGAATTATTACCGTACCGAAATGTTTTGGTAGAACAAGGACACTCAATATTATTAAAAGGGCAAATGGCAAATAGGTCCATCATAATGGCACTTAATTAAAAGAGGGACATCCAACTTTTTTATCTTTCAAATAAATCCAGTTCATTCAAACTTATTTGCAAATAAGGAAAATCATTTTATATATACAAAAATAAGGAAAATCCTTTGCAAATAAAATTTTAATAATTAATTTAGTATATATAAAAAGTGAACATAGCACCATTAGTTAAAAATAATTATACTTTTTGAGTATGTCAAAAATATTTTAAATTGCTTTTATTAATGATGATCTAATTGATGTTAAAAGTTTTATGTTACAATTACTTAAGAAATATTTTTTTTTATATTAAGTAAATTAAGAACATTTATTTAGAATACTTATATTTTTAATACTAGTTTAGTACGTTTTAAATTTTGTATACATTTAATTGCTTTGAAAGATGGAATTTAATTTAGACTTAAATAGTAGATAACATAAATTGGTAATTATCATTATCATATCCTATGGTACCCAATTTTTGGTATACCGTAATTTATGATAGGGCAATGACAATGAATTTCGTAATATCGAAATTTCGGTAATAAAAGTGATTCGAGGGGTTTGGTACGATTGTCCTACCAAACCCACCCCTAATAATATAAAGGAGTCTCGAACCCCTTCCGTTGTTGGACCTTTAAAGCTATATAGTCCCATGTAGAAAGTAAAGGCCCAATAGTAAAGAGCCCATTTGCATTCATCCCACATGGTGGACCATAGGGGGGCAAAATGAAAATAAAAGAAAGATATCGAAAAAAAATCAATGAGTGGGATTTCTATTAATTAGTCTAACATTGAAGGGGTCTTTGTATTGGTACTGATGAAGGAATTAGCTGAAGTTAAATGTCTTAATTTCTTACCTTTTTCAAAAAGTTAAATCAAAGTTACAAAAAGGTTTTTTTTAACTTTGATTTGTGTTTAACAAGAAATTATTTGCCTTGTTAACTGCTTTTGAAACATATTACATATATGCAGTTAGAAGTAATTCATTTGATGCAGCACATGAATTTCTATGGCTATCAGCTTTTAAGATCTTTTTATGCTTGTTATTATCTGAACCAATTTAGTAGAAACATTTCTATTCTTAGCAAAATCATGAGAAAACATATATAATTATCAATTATTGTTGGTATTTGTTTGAAAAAAAAACATAAGAGAAGATGGGGAAGTTGTTGGAGCATATACTGGTGTTTCAATTCTCACAAACATAGCAAACAAATCAGCCACGATGTCCTAGTCTCCGAACAAGGTCCTCCTAGAAGAAGTATATTCGACATTTCGGAAAATCGAATGCATTTGTGTATCATGATGTGGTCTGAAGACTCGAGCTCCATTTCCACTATCGGCAGCCTTTTGGAGAAATCAATCAAACACAAACATAGGTAAGGACGTAAGGTACACGGTTCGTTGGCTCGTGTTGGAAAGGTGAGAGGATAGACGGCAAATGTGGTGAATCAGGATGGCAAGACAAGAAGAAGAAGCCTCGTGGCTGCACACACAAGCATATGCAGTACAACCGCATTTCGTCACCGCCGTTGTTGGTTTTGGAAAGACGTAAAAGTGGAGTGGAGCGGGGCCATATCAATAGTTTCCGTAAGTGAACAAATATTTGGTTTTAATTGCTTTTGTTTTTGTTTTAATTATGTTGCAGTGATTGCTAGATACCAAATTAAAAACTTTTGCACCAGCAGTTGTGCTATGGCTATTTTGAACTCATTTACGGCTCAATATTGAGTATAATCTAGTTGAATTAGTTTAATTAAGTAAAAAAAAAAGTGCTGCTCAATATTGAGTATAATCTAGTTGAATTAAGTAAAAAAAAAAAGTGATAATGGACGCCATATGTCCGGATGGGTTTCGAACTCGGGCAAATTAAAAAAGATGAGCATAGCTTTCCACTGGGCCAAACGCAACTTTTGATGAAGTATAGGCCATAAATATATATAGCATAACACGCCGGTAAAATGATTTAATTGGCATATAATATGTTAAATAAATTATTAATTTTCATATTAATTATTAGTAAATAAGTTTAGTTAAATTATCAACAAATGCAAACTTTTAAAAAATATATATAATCACAATTGAATTTGAAAATTCAATCGAATTAATCATTTTGACTAACTGTTTTTACGTAAATGATAAGTAGAAAGGCGGTTCAATACTTCAAAACATCCATTATTAATTACTATATATCAATATAATCTCCACTATTGAAAAATATATAGAATTGAATCAATTCAATATTTAAACAAATATGTTGACTTAATACAAACTCACTTATGTTATTAAAATCGATAGTGTGAAAAAATTGAATGGAAAATAAAATAAGATATTTATTTAAAAAAAATAGATTATAACTCATTTCGATTAATTTAAATCGATTAACCTCAATTGTTGACAAGAACTTATTTAAAAATATAAATGATGTTTATTTTAACAAAAACATATTATATCTCAATTCAATTAATTTTTTACTTTAAAAATAACATTATATATGAATAGTATAATCAAAATATTATGATGTAATTTCTCTTTTAATAATTGATTTAATAGTAAAAATCGTAAGAATTAAATTGTAGATCATATGATTTAATAATTGATTTAACAGTAATAATCGTAAGAATTAAATTGTAGATCATATGATTTAATCATTTTTTTACATATACATTTTATTCAAATATTAGAATTGAATCGTAAGATTTAAATGGATTAAGCTCAAGTTCTTTCAATTTATTTTATTTTTTATTTTTTTATTATAATCATTTTACACTGTTTGTTTATGTTATATATATGTGTCTTGCAAGAAGGTTCACAAATAATTGCCTTGTCACATTGGTTTTGATTGGCATCCCACTGTGAGGGTAACCCGAGTTCGAACCCTAGCCGAAGCACATTTTTTCTCTTTTGCTTTTCCACACGCGCTCAATTGTTACACGCGCTCAATTTACTATAAATAGCGTCTAATTCAATTTATCAAATTACAAAATGGATTTCAAATGGAAGGATTTGAAATTTATACTTGAAATAGTAAAAGACATCATCTCGGGTTTTCTAGCTAGTTTTCTGTACGATGCACAGAAAGAGCACCGTGAAAAACACCGCAAGGGGAAAAATTCCCCGAATCCTCAAATTTCCCCAAATACTCAAGCGGTGTTGGTGGGCGGCATTATTTTGATGTCGCTTCTTTTCAACTGGTGTTTTCCGCCACCACCACCACCTTCATCATCACCACCACCACCAACACCAACGAACAACAATAACACCAACAACAACATAGTCTATGTTGCGCCGCCAGATACCACTGCTATAACGGCTGCCGTTGCTTCACTGGTTGAAGCGACAGATACCTTGTCCACCGCCGCAGCAGTTTTAATCGCCATCGTTCAGGATCTGCGATCCGTTCAGACTCCGAGCACCAATCGTCGGACTCCGCCCAGCGCCAATCGTCGGACTCCGCCCAGCGCCAATCGTCAGACTCCGCCCAACACCGATGATCAGACTTCGTCCATCATCGCTACTCTGAATCCGGCCGACGTACTGAATCCGTCCATCCCCATTTTGCACCGCCCATCCACCTGGACCCTTACGCCTCTGGATCCAGACAGCTTTCCTCCCCTTTCATCCACCTCGAATGTCGGTACATCCACCTCGACGTCCGTGCCTTCACTGTACTCGACCAGCCTTCCACCCTCGTCGATCAGCCGTCATTTATGGAATCAGGCCATTTTGTCCAACCGTACTTCACCGTTCTCGATCAGCCTTCCACCCTTGCCGAACACCCGTACTTCACCGTTCTCAATCAGCCTTCCACCCTTGCCGAACACCCGTACTTCACAGTCCTTGACCAGGATTCCATCCTTGCCGACCACCACCGGTTCGTCCACCACCACCACCACCACCAGTTCATCCACTTCACTCGCCGAGTCATTTACCACTTTTGGAGGCCACGACTCATCTACCACTTCTGGAAGCCACGACTCATCTACCTCTCCTGGAGGCCAAGACTCATCTACCTCTCCTGGAGGCCACGACTCGTTTGATTGAGGTTTATTCTGTTTCATTCATCGGTTTCATTCATTTGTAAGTAATCATTGATGTTTAGTTGGTGAGACGAAGATTAGGAACAAACAATATATCGAAGATTTATATGAAAATTTTGGAGTTGGTGTTGCGTTGAATTTCTATACCGTATTCTGATTTCACTTTGACGTATCTCCTTCCAAATTTGATAATCTGTTATCGGAATTGAATTTCTATCGTCTGCAAACAATTTGATAATCTGTTATCGGAATTGAATTTCTATCATCTGCAAACAATTTGATAATCTGTTATCGGAATTGAATTTCTATCGTCTGCAAACAATTGGGGAAAAATAAAAAATAAAGATAATACTCATATCTTGCTTAAATCTGGACCGAGATCTGAGATAGGAAAAATCCTAACTAGATTCATAAGAAACCTCGAAAAAAAATGTAAAAAAACAGAGTACGAAATGACTACAGCCGTACATTGGCCACCTCCGCGTTGCTAGGCGTTTAGGTTGGCACCGGAAGCCCACAGGTAAGATCTCCTTATCCTTCATAAATTACAGATGATTTTATTGTATACAGCAATCTTCCACCGACATCTGGTGTACTTAAAACATGCTGTGTAATTTTGGAGAGTGCCTTCTCAGTAAGTGATAAGATGGGAACTCTTTCGAAAACCTGTAGTCTTAAATTATTTTCCCAATTCTGATTCTGTGGATGTGATGTATATACGATTGGCCTCATCGGGGTGAGTGGTAACTCGTAAGTCGTAACTGTAACTCAATATATATGCATGATGAGTCTTAAATATACCACGTGATTGAGATGATGAAATAGTCCGTGGAGAGGCCATGTTTCTCATTCCAACTGTCTTATATCGGTGTTCTGTTATATGTGTCTTCAAGTGTCCAATGAGTGTTTCTTGGTTATTTGAATAATCTTGTTCGTACGTCTATCCGTTAATACAAGGAGTGACAAATTAAGTTGTTTAACAAACTATATTAGCTATGGTGTCTCGGTATTGGCTTCTCCACGCCTGGCTAATGAAGCTGCTTCACGAAGTGAGACATCTTAAACTCGAATTCGATACATTAATATCTCTGGGTACGTGATCGTTTCTATCTCTAAAATCTTCTGTATCTTTTTGTTTGTACGAGGTATTTCATTATTCGAACGATTTAAGAGGTTAATTATGGTGCTAGGCTTTTCACATTATGTTATTTCCATTTTTGTAGTCTTGTAATCTTGAAAAACTCTTTGATTTCGGTCACTCACTGCATATTAAAATCGTTAGATTAGTTTGACTACAATCCTAAGGAAATCCAACCTTTGTGGGTGATTCGTTGTGGTGAGTTGTCCTCAGGCACTGTACAACAGATAGTGCAGTTTCTTTAATTGGCAGTTGAAGTTATTGAACTGTCGATATTGTTAAGGCGCTCTTCTAGTTATTATCATTATTTGTCAATAGCTTGGCTCGACAAATAAAAATGTACCAGTGTGGACTGTCTTTTCATTTGCTACTGGATTGTCCAATATTCAGCTTCTGTAGGTGAAATAGAATTTGCCAGAGTCTTGGTCAATGGCATCTAGGTGGATGGATCTGAGTGATTGGTTATCATATAGGTACGATGGTAATAAACCTCTGAAACGCTATCTCACTTACTTTAGCGTCTCTAAAATTAAAACATATGCCCCCGTATTCGTTTTTTCAATAAAGCAACTGGAGATGATACTCGGAGTCTATGCACAACAGTCTGCAAATGGACTTATTTAGGTCACGCACACATGCAACAGACGAATGAGAATGATTCCCGTAATATGGAAGCGCTTGGATGGGATGATGACTTTTGGGAGGAGATTGGTTTAGGTGACCTTGTGGATGGCCATCATTCCTCGATTTTGTTCTATCTAGCAATCGTCCACCGATATATGGCTTGCAATTTGCACAGCTGTCAAAGTAGCTTGCTCTTTAGCAAATATTTCCGGGGAAGAAGTGACCAGTTTGGGGTTTGCTGCTACTTGTTCGCTCGGTATGTGAACTCTAGCAAGTGCATTTCATACTGTCACCTAAAAATAATGGTATAATTCAATTTTTTCACTCGTTTTTTTTGGGACAATGTGGCTTATGGCCTAACTATTTACCGGGGGATAATGGTCTTGTTTGTTGCAGTTGCTGTTGATTATGATGGCGAACCTGTTACAGTTTCTTGGAGCGGCGACACGAGAAGGAATATTATTTTGTGGATGGACCACAGAGCTGTAAACCAAGCGGAGAGAATTAATTCTTCTAAGTCGCCGGTATTGGAATACTGTGGTGGGGCTGTATCCCCTGAGATGCAGCCACCTAAGGTATGTATTGGTTCAAAGTTTCAGTATCCGCTCGTTTTGGAATATTTGAACTATGCTTCTGTCAATGAATTATAAGTCTTAATTTGAGATGTTTTGCATCATATGTTTTTTTAACTTATCTATTCAGCATAGCTATATGTTAGATGGTGCAATTTAGAAACTTAATTTGCTTTAACTTTAGGAATTTTAGGCATAATGAAGGATCTCCAAATGATCTATGTCTACAAACGAGACTTGATTCACTCCATATTTAAAATTCTTACTTCTTAGATTACCTTCACGTTGATCCTCAGAGAAGCCGACCTTTGAGGTTATCTCGTTGTTTTGAGTTTCTCTCTACTGTACAACAAAAAAGTGCAGCGTATTTAATTGGCATCTGAAGCTATTTAGCTGTCGAAATCTTCTTGTTAGTGGAACTGGAATTATTTAGAATGACCTCACAGTTATGAATGTGGCTATAAAATTTAATTATGTAATGGTGTTTTTCTATTTCTTGAAGTGTACATTAGAAACGAAATGGGATTGATATCAAGTGGGGTTATACAGATGATAAGTGGGGTTATTTGTTGAAGAGCAGATTTCTTATGGCTGGGAAACCATGTGATATGCTAGTCTAGATTGAATCCCTTAAAAAAAAAAAAAAAACTCCGGCTGCAAAAAGAACTTTGATTAAATTAAAATCCGTGACTCAGTTTTCGTTTGATCGCAAACTAGCAAAACCGCCAAAGATAGCGTAGCCAAAGTTCTTCATTAGAAACCTAACATTTTTCCATTTAGCTAGTATGTTGTTATTTTCTTGAGGGTGTTGCTTTAGTTATACATGTTCGTATTAATTTGGTTGCTATTGTTAAGGTGCTCTTCTAGTGATTATCATTATTTTTCAATAGCTTGGCTCGAGAAGTAAAAATGTACCAGTGTGGACTGTATTTTGATTTGCTACTGGATTGTCTAATATTCAGCTTCTGTGGGTGAAAGAGAATTTGCCAGAGTCTTGGTCAATGGCATCTAGGTGGATGGATCTGAGTGATTGGTTATCATATAGGTACGATGGTAATAAACCTCTTACACGCTATTTCAGTTACTTTAGCGTCTCTAAAATTAAAAAAATATGCACCGAATTGGTCTTTTCTTTAGGGCAACTGGAGATGATACTCGGAGTCTATGCACAACAGTCTGCAAATGGACATATTTAGGTCACGCGCACATGCAACAGACGAATGAGAATGATTCCCGTGATATGGAAGCGCTTGGATGGGATGATGACTTTTGGTAGGAGATTGATTTAGGTGACCTTGTCGATGGCCATCATTCCAAGATTGGTACGCCTCTAATTTCTCTTGCAATGACTGGTATATTTAACGTAATACAATTTTGTAGTGGTCTGATCTTACTAGAATTATGCAACTATATAAGTGAAGAAAGTATCTGATTAACAAAGTGATTTATGTATATTGTTAAGTGAAATCTTTTAGCAGTCAAAATTATTAAGTCCCGTTAACTCTTTTATTATCTTATTTACGTAGTTCTTTCGGTTTGCTCATAAAGCAGGGAGACTATAAAATTGCTAAAGCTAAATACATTTCTGAGTTTCTTCCTTTGACACAGTCACTATTTGTCTTGTCTCTAGTCAAATGATCGTTGCTTCGAGTTTCTATCTTTCCGTTATCGAGTTTCGATCATGTTTTTCATCGCCAAATTTAGTCTAACCTGTTTGTCTTTCCCTCGGCGCAAGCAGCGATGAATTAATTAATTTTTTTTTCAGTTCCGCAAATTCGTTTAGCTATGGTGCCTCAGTATTGGCTCACAGAAGGAGGCCAGAGTGCCACTGGGGCATTACTTGATTACATCGTAGAGAACAACGTTGCTTCTCCACACCTGGCAAATAGAGCCGCTTCTCGAAGTGAGATATCTTGAACTTCACACGACCATGTCTCTATTGTTCTTTACCTCCTAATTTTTTTTTAAATTTTTTCGAGGTTTCGATATTTGAACTTCTGAACGAGATACTGGAATCAGCGAGGGAAGAATTAGGTTCTCCATTTGTTGCTGCTTTAACAAATGACATTCACGTCCTTCCCGATTTCCATGGAAACAGGTGAAAGCTCGAGACATTGTCAGCAATTATTTTTTCATTTATATCAAAATCGTTAGAGTTTTGTACTTTCTAAGATTTTAGTTTAGATCTCCCGTTGCAGATCCGATATCGAAACGGATGATATGTGGCTTAACTCTTGATACTAGTGAAAAGCAGCTTGCTCTTTTATACCGTGCCACTGTACAGGGTATAGCATATTACAGGTTACTCCCACATCTTTTTGGCTAATTTGTTTTAAATTTTTTATATGCCTTCAAATTATGTAGTTTTTGTCCTTAAATTGAATTATTCATTACCATCTAGATTTGCAAATAATTTCCTAGTTGTGGCCCTGATCTCGACCGTTATATTTGTACCTATAGTTAAAAAACTCCAAGTTACTATATTGTCAAGTAATTATCGAAATAACAAGGTTCTCTTTCTATTTATTTACGATCCTAATCATCCTATCCATCTTCTTTTTTCGTTTTTGTGCTAACTTGCATTATCTCAATGACTTTTTCCTGGCATACATAATTGGCATGATGGTAAAACTGTTTGTTATGAACACATAGAGGTTGATGAGGAAGCGATATCTCGTCGTATGGTGCTAATATGCGGAACTTCCACTTACCACATGGCTATTTCCAGGATCAAATTGTTCATTCCAATAGCTTTTCGAAGTGACGTGTATTTGAACTTCACAGGATGTTATCCATGAGTATACTGTATACGAGTACTTAGATGTCTACCTCTATTGAGAACCAACGTTTGGGTAGGAAGTATGACTCATCAGCAACTATATAACTTCGGTTTTAGTGTAAATCTGTTATGATCTATTCAAGTTACTGGCAATTGAGATATGAGATTGTTTGTTATGATTGAGCTTTTCAGTTACTCAATGCGGGTTTCCCAAAATATTCTTGCAAATATTAATAAATACTTTAACTTCAAAAAAAACAAAAAAAAATTAATATATATAATTTAACTAGGATATAACATAAAGGGTAAATTATACTTACACCCCTCAACTATGCTAAAATAACTTTAAAGTATATGTAGGCTGTAGTATTGGTAATTACAGCCGCCCCTTGAAACATTGTTAGAAATCCTAACAAAATAATGCATTGGATAAGTTATTCCATTAGAGTTCTGAAGGACTATTAGTTTCAGTCGGTGGCGAAGACAAGATAGATCTAGGAGGTAACATGACTCTCGTAACATTTTTTATATCCTTATTATTTTATATAAAATTTATAAAACTTTCATCTATGCATGGTAGCATTAAGAACCCCGTGGAAAATAAATATAGTGCATATCGGTCCCTAGGAAATAAATGTTATGTTTGACAGAACTAAGCAACGAACACTGAATGTTGAATACTAAATGATCAAGATCAGTGTCTGATTGTTGAATGTTAATTGTTTAAATTTGTTTAATAACTGAAAATATATTGTATCTGAATAATATAATTTTACTGTATTATTCTTCATAATTATTGAACACAATATTAGTTAGGGGTGGCAATTTGGATCCGGTTTCATGGATCCGATTAGATCCGGTTCGGTCCATAAGGATCTAGTTTAGATTAAATCTAGTTGAAACAAACCGGATCGGATCAAGTTGATTTTTTTTTTAAAACTGGATCCACTTTAGATCCATTGAAAGTTCAACTAAAAATGAAGTGGGTCATATTGGATCCAACCAAAACCAAATTAAATACTAATATAATTTTCTAAAAAAAAAAAGGCAAATATTATTTTAATAGTAAATTTAAAAGATCAAACATTTTCAACCCTAATTAGAGAGGGATATATATATATATATATATATATATATATATATATATATATATATATATATATATATAGGGGAAATGAGGGATAACCCCCTAGTTTTAAAAATATATATGGATAGGTCCTATGGATTTTTCTTTCCTAGTCAAAAACCCAAATTTTAATCTTAATTTGACAGACCCCCTGAACAAATTGAAATACCTGTTTTACCCTTTTAATTTGCCCTAACCCCCTAACACTCTTCCACTCACACGCCGCACACCCACAATCGCTCTCTCCTTTCCTCTAAATCTCTCGCCAGATCCAGATCCAACGTCCATGTCTTCTCTCTTTCTGGGCAAAACACAGCTCCGCCTTTTCTCTTCTTCCACCGCCGTCGCTGAAGCCCTCCGCCGCCTCTCTTCCTCTCTTCGTGCATCACCGTCGCTGACGCCCTCCGCCACTCTGCGCCCTCTCTTCGTCCACCACCGTCGGCGACGCCGACGCCCTCGCCACCATCAAATCGTCGAGCAAGGTTTCATTTCTCTCTTTCTGATTCTTCGTCCCCTTTGTTGCTAGATAATTTTTCCTTGAGCAGAAATAGTAGGATTTATTAGCAGATTGATTTCTAAATTGAAAAACTAGGGCGTGCTCAATTCATTTTGAATTTAAAAGTACAGAGTTCCAAAAGTGGAGCAGTAGACCATGTTTAAGAATAATTACTATGACTTTTGATTTGCAAAATGTTTTCTAGGTTATTGTTCTGTTGCAAGTAGCCTTTGATGATGTAGATTCAATTTTAGAAAAATAAATCCTTCTGGAGGTAATCTTGATAGTGTAAGTTATCTGAAAATATCGTAGATTTCCCGTTTACGAAGGATTTTTACTTTTCCATTTTTAGAAGTTAATGTGGTCGATGTGTGATACGCGTTTTCCTCACGTATAAATTACCGCAAGTATACAGTATCGCATTTTGCAGAACAGTGGTTCCGGATATCGATCCACAGGGACCTATAGATTCACATGCTGAGTAATGTAATTATATTATCGTTATATTATCTAGCCGATCGTAAATATTTGGAATGGTGAGAAACCCTAATTTAAAAGCATGCAAGATCGTAAACATGCAAATATAAAATGTACGTAAATAAGGTAACGACAACTCAACGCGGGGGGACTTCGATTTAAATGGGACTTCTAGGGCCAATCCACCTATGTATAATCAACAACGATCTACAAATCCGTTATCTAATGCCACATTCCTATTCGTTAACCCATGCGCTAATGTACTCTAACCCCCGTCTCCAGTGTAGTTAGAGTCTACCCACAGGTCCGACGTCTCCGTTCAGAACCTGCTATTAAGAGAGCGTTTAGGTCAAGTCCTTAAGGGCTACCCGAAGTGCATCACGTCTCCGTTTCCACACCCCGAACTATGTTTTCCTAACTTCAAACAAGAAATCCTCTCTCGAGTTCATTCCTATTTAATATCAATCCGAGAGCTGATCAAACAATCAGAAGCATTTAATACAGGAAAACATAAACGAAATCGAAACACGACAAATAGATAACAGAAATGACGATCGAAATCAATATATACAAGGCTTCATTGCCCTAGAAGAAAATGTTCTTAGTTCATAACAAACATAGAGTCAAAAGAATGTACACAAGAAATGAAGAACAAAACGTAAAGAAATTGCGTAAGAAAAACCCAAGTCGAAACCCCCGTTGATGATTCCCGCGAAGAACTGTCGAAAACCGTAAAAAGTCGAAGAAGAACGAAGAGTGAGGGCTTGCTTCTATTTATAGTAAATTGCAAAGCTTCCTCAAGAAGCTTTGCTTTTGAAAATATATGCCCTCGAAAATCGTGCCAGATCGCGATCCAATAAAGTCAGATCGCGATCTGGCTTCTCGTAAAAAAATGAACTGCCATCCCAGATTGCGATCCAGGAAGTGCGGATCGCGATCTGCCCCAAAATCTCGATGTTACTGGAATTTGCCACCAGATCGCGATCCGACTTTCCTGGATCGCGATATGGGTCTGAAATTGCTTGCTACTGGAATTTGCATCCAGATCGCGATCCGACTTTCCTGGATCGCGATCTGGGTCTTAATGGCCACTTTCTCGGCTTGAAAAATCGGTTTCGCTTCCAAATGGCTTCGACTTGGCAAAAAATAACTAACAAAACCTAAGAAAGGAAATAAAATAAAAAACGCAATAATAAATACAAATAAAGCCGAAACTCAGACGAATGAAGACCAAAACTCGAAGATTTGATAAGCAAAAATCGTGCAAAACGAACACTTATCAATATGCTACAATGAACCATACTAATTGTGTTTGATTTGGGGTTGCTGTGTTTGAATATTCTTGTAGCGAACTCAATGTTCGTACAATATAGTGGATATCTAGTTATTCAGTTGGTATCATGCAGAGAATATTTGATTTGTTTCTCAATCTTATCGAACTAATA